CGGGCAGCCAAACGCCAGCCTCCCACGTGGAGTTTCCAAAAAGTGTGACGCGGAGTTCAGTTTAGAGCCTGCCCCTGAGACACGCGCCTCCCTGAAATGTTTTCACAAAGTGTTCCTTGAAAGGCACCGTGTCAGCAGGGCTGTATGGCAGCCGGGAGGAGAGGGAAGGGAGGAAGGTGGGGAGTCGGAGAACCCTGGGGCGGGGCGGGGTGAGGAAGAGGGCAGCACGGGCACTGAGCTCCTGCGGCGTGCCAGGCGCTGGGCTCACTCCGCCATCCCCCGAGATCCTTGCCACAAACCTGCGAGATTAGGTGTGGCCGCTCCCGTGTTCCAAGAGAAGAAAAATAACAATAATTCATGACCCTCACATTTATTTTTATTTTAAAAAAGCTTTTATTTATTTATGTTTAGAGAGAGGGGAAGGGAGGGGAAAAGAGAGGGAAATGCACGTGGATGTGAAAGAAAAGCATTATGGGTTGCCTCTCGGACGTGCCGCTACTGGGGACCAAACCCGAGACCCACGAACGTGCCCAGACCAGGGATCGAACTGGTGGCCTTTCACTTTTCGGGTTGATGCCCAACCAACTGAGCAACACTGGTCAGGGCAGCACTGCTAACATGTACACAGTGCTGACTGCGCAGCAGGCAGTGGGGGGAGCACACAGCTGACCCCCAGGGCGGCTCCTGCCACGGCTGCTATTCTGACCCTCACTTTATAGAGGAGAGCCTGAGACTCAGAGACATGCAGTAACTCCCCCAAGGTCACCCAGGGAGATAGCAGCAGTGCCGGAATTCGAATACAAGTGAGGCCGCAGGGCCCTTGGACCTGCCTGAGAGCGTTTCCCAAGGGACCTCGGGGGTGGGTCTGAAAGGTCACGGGACAGTGGTTGTTCTTACTTGCTCATAGTGGGGGCCCAGCGGGGGACTGATGTAACTGACCGAGTGATCAGAGGCACTCCCTTCCTCTGCACCCGGGGGACAGTTTGTCCCAGCTCGTGGCTGTTTGTCATTCGGCCGCTGACCTCAAGTTTAAAATTTCATTCATAAGTTTGGAACCGCAAACTTGGCTGTGAGGGAAGAGTCCTTGGAGATCAGCTATTCTGGTCCGCCCCCCTCGTATTACAGATGAACACAAAACAAACACACTAAGCCCGAGGTCCAAAGAAGGGCATGGACAGGGCAAGGCCACGGCGAGTCTCTGCTGGGAGGAGGGGCTGGTCTGAAGTCAATTACAGACCATCTCGTCCTGTCATTACCCAATATAGCTGTACCTCTGAAGCGCTTGGGCAGCTTTATTTATTAAATTTTTTTTTTAATTTTCACCCAAGGACTCTTTTTTCATTGTTTTTAAAGGGGGGAAGAGAGAGAGACAGAGAGAGAGAGGGAGAGGAACAGCGATGGGGTGCCTCTGCCGCATGCCCAGCTGGGACCGACCGAGGACGGAACTGCCGCCCAGGCACGTGCCCTGACGGGGGACTGAACCTTCGTGCCTCGGCCGACTGAGCCACACCAGCCACCAGCTGGGGCTCACCTGGGGAGCTCTCTCTCTCTCTTTTTTTAAAAAAGATGTATTTATTTATATTTTATTTTTTTAAAGACTTTATTTATTTTTAGAGAGAGGGAAAGAAGTTTGGATGTGAGAGCAACGTTGATCGGCGATGGCCTCTCACGCGCACCTCCACCGGACCCAATGGGTAGCCCAGGCATGTGCCCCGACTGGGGATCGAACCGGTGAACTTTTGCTTTGCGGAATGACACCCGACCACCTGGGCTGCACCGGTCAGGGTGGAGACCTCTTTAATACACAGATCTCTCTGCACTCTGCTTCTGGAGATTCAGAGACTGGTTCGCAGCAGTGTCTGGGAATCTGACTGGAGGGTCTTCTCCTCAGGGCTTGCAGATGGAACAGGGCCATGGGCCACGTTTGGAAGTTCAGTCCAGTGTCCCTCTTTCGGTTCATAGTTTGGGAGAGTAAGAACCAGCATGGGACTTGCCTAAGGTCACGGGACAAGTCAGTGCAGTCCTAGCTCAGGCTCTGCGGTCCAACCTCAAAACTCATTCTTCTTCAGCTGCCTGTCGTCACATTCTTATAACAGACCAAGGAGGCCCTGCTCGGGTGTGACTCAGGTGGTTGGAGCATCGTCCTGTAAACCAAAAGGTCATGGGTTTGATTCCCAGTCGGGGCACATGCCTAGGCTGCAGGTTCTGTCCTGATCTGGGCGAATACGGCAACGTAGGCAACCAATCGATGTTTCTCTCCCTCTCTCTCCCTCCCTTCCTTCTCCTCTCTCTAAACACAACGAGCTTATCCTCAGGTGAGGATAAAAAAAGAAAAATGGACCGAGGCTGGCCAAGGCAGTTACTGTGGTTTTCCCCAGTCCTTGGTTTCCTGGTTGTACCTTCATTAAAGCACAGGATGGTGCCCATTTCTGGGGCTAGAAACAGTGAGAATTCGAGAGCTGAAATAGGGAAAAGGAAACTGCAATAGGCTGTCCTGCAGGCCGGGGGGTAGGAGGGGAGGCGGGGGTTTTCCCAGAAGTTCATTCCAGGCTCTACGGATGATGTCAGATACCAGAACTAGCTATCCAGCCTGCCCCAGCGCCTCGGGCTCTGGGCTTCCTGCATTGTCCATTTCAGGAGGAGGATTATCCACTCCAGGGGAAGGGACAGGTAGGGAGAGCCTCCCCTCTGTGGGAGGAGATGGAGAGAAGGCCCAGCTGTGACATCAAGGGACGCAGCCTCAAAGCCTCAGGAAGGAATACACATTCCAGTGCCTGGAAGGAAGACAATAGAAGCTGCTTTCAGGAACTCAGTTAAACCTCTCAAGCCCTTTCCCAGCCTCTCCTCCCACCACCCTTAATCCCTCTCTCCAGACCTCCTTGAGCTGAGGGCTTCACTGCCCCTTATCACTTCCCCACTACTCCACTCTTTCACTGTTGTCACTCTCTGTCTGTCTCTTACTCTCTCTCTCTCTGAATAGTATCTTGGTGTTTGGAGTCAGATGTCCTGGATTTGACACCCAGCTCAGCTACCTATGAGCTTTCCGAGCTAGGTAGATTCACATCCGCACCCCCCCGCCCCCGCCCGAGCCTCACTTTGAAACTATACTTATTTTTAAAATTTTTACTTATTGATTTTTAGAGAGAGAGGAAGAAGGGAGAGAGATAGAGACATCAATTTGTTGTTCCACTTATTTATGCATTCATTGGTGTATCTGGACGACGCTCTAACCAACTGATAGAGCTACCCTCCCAGGGCTCGATTTCCACTTTTATTTATTTATTTTTAAATTGTACTTATTTTTAGAGAGGAAGAGAAGGAGAGAGGGAGGGAAACATCAACATGTGGTTGCCTCTCGTGCGCCCCCTACTGGAGACTTGGCCTACAACCTATGCACGTGCCCTCCCTGGGAATCAAACTGGTGACCCTTTGGCTCGCAGGCTGGCACTCAACCCACTGTTGCGCTTTTAAAAAGGAGGATGCTATCTATCTTCTCGGAGTGAAGGATGAAAAAGATCATGTAAATACTAAAACAGATGTTTTCTCACAAACACTAGACCATGGAATTAGGGACCAGAGGGATTTGAATATATACAGGGTGGGCACAAGTGAGTTTACAGTTGTGAGTATGCGGAACACAGTTTATCTTTGTATTATTATTAATTGATTATTGTATTATTATTATCAACCTCTTTTGCTCACTCCTGTACTTATTCAACTGAATAGAGGCACCTAGGAGAATGGTTGAGCTGTAATCTTCGGGTCTTAAATGACTTCCAAACAGGAGTCCAAGGGAACTGTTTACAGTATCTCCAGGTGATAAGGGAAATCACAAACTTACTCTTGATAAAGCCTCAAGGTTCTCTATTTTTGTCTGGAATTGTATCAACCCAGGCGGTAATATGGTTTTCACACGCTGTTCAGAAGTATGGACTGGTAGTCACGTGAGTCTTTGGTACTTTTTTTTTAAAGGGAAAATAATTAGTGGAGGGTAGACTAAGTGTTGGAAAACATTAATCTTGTCCCACTGCCCATTTTGTGCACAGGGAAGCCGAGGTGAAAGAGGGAAGTGGCTGGTCACGCAGCTGGAAGAGCTGGCTGGAAACCCCAGTTTCCTTTCCTGGAACCAGGCGCTTCCCTTCTTTCCATTCTGGAGAAAGGGGACCTATCATCAATGGAGTTGAGAGGTTTCGGACTGCCGGTGCGGTAATAGAGTGACTCATCCGCTTGCTGTTGTCCTTCCTCTGTTCTTGACTCATTCAGCAAATATTTACAGACTCTCCACACTATGTGGACTCGAGAGAAGGCTGAGAGAAAACAGTCATGGCAGCGAGCAGGGTCAGGATCTGCCCCCAGGTCCTTCAGGACTTCTGAACCCGTGCCCCCCCTCCCCCGGCCATTATAAATATACTATCGGATATACGATAAAATACCGACTACTCTGCCTTCTAATTAGGTTTTGTCTGAGGGCAGGGACTCTCCTTAGTATGAGTCCAAACCCTCCTGGCACACAGTGGGTACGAACTCCATGCTGTGGCGTTGGCAACACCTGGATTCTAATCCTGCCTGCGACCACCTCTCGTGTCTTGGAGGCACTACGTTGCTGTCTTTTTCTGACCCTTAGTCTAATCATCTGCGAAACGCGATCAGCAGCAACATCATATGTGGAAGAACTGGTAAGCTCGTTTCAAGGACCCTAGACTTTAGGAGAAAGAAAACGCTGGAAAGCCTTGCTAAAGAGAAAGTCAACATTTCCTCGCCCTTGGCTTCTCCTCTTCCCTCTCCCCTAGTTGCTCTTTTCGTTCAGAAGTGCCCTCTAGAGGGCACGCAAGCTCTACCGTTCTCACGTCCGATCGCCCTCCGTCTTCACTTTACGCATGTGCACACCTTTCTCCCCCGCCGCCCGGTTCACTGGTTCAGAGGAGCAGGCCACGCTTGCACCCACCACGCCTGCGCAACCTCAGCCCCGCCCCTCCACCGCCGTCCCCGGAAACGCTTCCTTTTCTACGCAGGCGCTACAGCAGCCCGGATCGCTGGAGCTTTGCCTCTCTAGGCCGGTAGGGACTCTCCTCCATGATCCTGTCTGTCAAGACTGTTTGGGGGGTCGGCCTGTGAGGCTGGGTCGCGTTCGGACGGTTCGATCCTCGAGTTGGTCACCGGTGAGTGGACCCCGAGGAAACGTGAGTACGGGCGGGGCCGGAGCAGCCAGACTGGCAGGATTTCCCCTCACCCTGGGAATGGGTCTGCCCGCCGTGCCCTCCCCTCGCTCCCGGAATGGGCTCGCCCCCTCCGTCCCAGCCCCTCCTCCCGGGCTGGGTGGTGTTGCCATGGTTACGGCCCGCTGGCTGAGGCCCGGCGGCATCTGTCCTCGCAGGTGCCGGGGCGTCCTGAAACCCATGGCCCGGCGGCGCTGACCCAAGCCCCTGGCGGAGGCCGGGCCACTCTGGCCGGCATGGCGGGCCAGTTTCGCAGCTACGTGTGGGACCCGTTGCTGATCCTGTCGCAGATCGTCCTCATGCAGAACGTCTATTACGGCTCTCTGGGCCTGTGGCTGGCGCTGGTGGACGGGCTGCTGCGCAGCAGCCCCTCGCTGGACCAGATGTTCGACGCCGAGGTAGGGTCTTCGGACGGGCGCGGGCGCGTCTGGGCCTCACGGGGTGGGCTTTGTGGTCCGACACTACTGGGCTCCAGACCTGGCCGTGCCACCTGCTAGCTTTGTGACCCTGGGGAAGAAATCTCGCCTTGCCGAGCCTCGGCTGCCTCATCTGCAAAGTGGAACAGCTGCTAACAGAGAGGCGGGTTCACAGTGCGAAGGAAGGGGGCTGGGACGTCACAACCAACAGGGCAGCGTTCCGGGAAACCCAACACATCTTCCTGACACTCTTGAGAAAGCGACTTCACTTCTCTGAGATTCTCAGGTGGCAAATTGGGGACGGGTAAAAGAGTATTCCAGCAGGTGTGATGCCAAGTTCCTGGACTTTGGAGTCTGGCCTCCATTTAGGTTCCGCTGCTGTTTGACCTGGGGCGAGTATCGTCATAACTGTGAACCTCAGTTGTGCTGCACGCGAAATCACCGGGCCGTAGCAGAGAGACCAGTAGCGGAGAGGCTGGGGACTGCAATACAGAGAGCTTGTACTTCTGATTCAGAAAGGCTGGGTATTCAGTCCGGGCCCCCCAACACTAGCTGTGGGCCTTTGGGCAAGTTGCCGCACCTTTCTGTGCCAGTTTCCTCTTCTGGAAACCGGACGGAATCATCCTCGGCAGAGTGCCATGAGGCCCAAAGGGGCCCAGGAATAGGACAGTACTTTTAAACCGTAACGGAGGCCTGGAGGCGTTTGTGCCCAGGAGACAGCTGCGGTGTGTGGTTGTGAGCACTGTTTTTGGAGCCGTGAGATCTGGGATGGAATCCTTGCCCCCGTTGCTTACTCTCTGTGTAGCCCTTGGGCGAGTTTTACCCGAAAAGAGGGAAGAGTGACAACAAGAGCAGCAGCAGCTTGGCGAGGCTGTGGTGAGGATGGCAGGAGAGGACGGGTATCACAGGCTGCCGGGACTGATGGCGCTGGGCAGGTGTGTGGTGGGCAGGTGTGTGGTGTTCGGCGGTACTGGGTCAAGAGTGGGGGGGTGCACACCCACAGGTGCCCAGTAGTTCCTTCTGGGGAGCCTCTGTCCTTCTGGGACAGGCACGTGGGAGCCCTGGGCTTTGTTGAAGAGCCCTCTCATGCACACAGCCTGAATTCCAGACCAGGCATGGACAGACTTTTTTTTTTAAAGGATGAGCTAGTAAAGATGTGAAGTCACAACTTACTCACCTCTGCCATTGTAGCCCCAAAGCAGCCTTAGACAGTACCGAGTTGACTAAGTATGCCTGTGTTTCAATAAAGTTTTATTAACAAAAATAGGTGTCTGGTCCCTGGGGCCATTGTGTGCTGAACGCTGTTCTGACCTTGCTCTTGCTGTTGACTTACTATTTCACTTTGGGCAAGTGACTTAACTTCTCTGAGCTTTCATTCCTCCTTTGTAAGGTGAGGGGAATAACCCCTTCCCCGCTGCTGTGAGGGTTCGGATGAGATCCCAGGGTGGATGTCGGTGAAAGCGCCTTCCTGGAAACAGGCTGCCACGAGATGAAGGGGCACACTGCCCCCTCTGCTCTGGGAGGAATTTCCTGGGGGGCTGGCAGGGCCTGGAGCCGTGGCTCCGCTGAGTCACTTCTCCAGCGTGTTTCCATTTGTGATTCCCCCCAGATCCTGGGCTTCTCCACCCCTTCGGGCCGGCTCTCCATGATGTCCTTCATCCTCAACGCCCTCACCTGGTGAGTATCACCAGTTCTGCTGCCTGGCTTCTGGGGTCTTCACGCTGAAACTGACTCCCCAAATGTGGACACGAGATAGGCCGGCGTTTGTTCCTTGGGAGCGGTGACCTGAAGTGGGCGGCAGAGGCCAGCTCTGGGACTGGCTCCACCATGGGGCTCCCTCCGTCGCTGTTTGGGCTGAGCTGCAAGGCTCTCAGTCGCTCTGTGCGAGCTGCCCGTGAGACAGCTTCTGTCTCAGGCCGCTTCCCTGATGCGGAATGAGGTGAGGAAAGGGTTAAACTGGGAGTAGGGAGAACAGAGCTCTGGGTCCGTGTGCCATTGGCCAAGTCGCTTCCCTCCTCCCTGGGCCTCGGGCTCCTCCTCTGGGCACTGAGGGGTCTGCCTGGCTGAAGTCTGACGTCACTCGTAGCCATCGCCTGTCTCCTGAGAGTCAGGCTGCGTAATGATCGAGATCACAGGCTCCGGAGGAGACTCACTTGGTCTTGAACTTCAGCTTTCCCACTAGTCTAGTGACGATGGACAAGTTCATCAGTCTAAGCCCGTTTTCTCATCAGTAAAGTGAGACCGATGATATTACTGTTATCACAGTTGTAAGGATAAGTGAACTACTTCATGGAAGTACTTAGAACAGTACCTTGCACATTACTACTCTTTTTTTAATTGATTTTAGAGAGAGAAAGGAAAGGGGGGGTGGAGAGAGAGAAACATTGACTTGTTTCATTTATGCATTCATTGGTTGATTCTTATGTGTGCCCTGACTGGGGATTGAACCCGCAACCTGGCACAGTGGGAGGACACTCTAACCCACTGAGCTGCGGAGCCAGGGCACACGCTACTACTCTCGCCCTCGCAGTAGAGGTCGGAAACTGGCGGGCCAACTCCAGTTTGGCTCCCAGAGGCGTTCTCTTCGGCTTACACAGTTGTCAGGACATGCCTGGTGGGTGGAACATTTTCCCACTTAGTTGAAAGTCAGCGATATTTTATATTAAAAAGAATTCAGATTTCTGGCTTCTCTTGAAAAATGGGAAGATTGAATCTAGGCCAGACTCCTAGCGTGACGACTTACCCTGCTGCACGTAGCTCCCGTCCCTCTTGCAGATAGAACACGCGGGCTTCAGGGTGCCACAGTCCCCACCCGTTCCCTTGAGCGATGGTTGCTGTTCGTCACCGAACTCATGCTTTCGTTTTTCTTCTGCCTGGCCTGGCTCACTCTCAGCCCTCCCTGCCCTGTTCCTCTAGGCACCTGCTAATGTCACCCTTGCTTCACGCTGACCTCACTAGCTTCTAATCTCTATGCTGTCATCCTAATTGTCCCTACTCCGCAGATAACCTAATCTAAGGCCAGGACAACCCAGTGACAACTCACTGCTGTCCTCTCCCCACAGTGCCCTGGGCTTGCTGTACTTCATCCGGCGAGGGAAGCAGTGTCTGGATTTCACTGTCACTGTCCATTTCTTTCACCTCCTGGGCTGCTGGCTCTACAGCTCCCGGTTTCCCTCGGCGCTGACCTGGTGGCTGGTCCAAGCCGTGTGCATTGCCCTCATGGCTGTCATCGGGGAGTACCTGTGCATGCGGACGGAGCTCAAGGAGATCCCCCTCAACTCAGCCCCTAAATCCAATGTCTAGAATCGGGCTCTTTGGACACCCGGCTGGGCAGGTGCCCCACCCCCCAACGCCTTGGGCCGCCTGGACCCTCCAGGTGAGGTCCAGCCCGGGCCCGAGAGGAACCCTGGAAGTGTGAAGTCTGTCCGTGTGGGAGAGATAGCGAGGTCCCGGCAAGAAGGCGGGGAGCAGTCAGGGTCCCGGCTGCGATGGCCCTTGTCTGCGGAAGCCTTGGTGTCCGGGAGGTCAGCTAAGGGCTCTGAACTTGGTGTCCGGGAGGTCAGCAAGGGGACGTCGTTCAGGGTAATAGCAGAATTGGAACCATGTCACTCTTGAGCCATCATACCTGTCACCAGCCTGTTATTTTAAAAAAGAAAAAAAAAAAATCAAGGATATCTGATTGGAGTGAACCACTCTTCTGGTCATCGGTCTTATGTCCCCGGACAGCAGTCGCCTTTGCCGTGCTGCGGAACCGCAGCTCTTCCGTCTGGAGAAACGCTCGGTGTCTGGATCCAGAGCCGCAGAGAAAGACGCGGGTGCACAGCGCCAGGCTGCTCTGGGGCGAGGACGGCAGCCAGATGGAGGCGGTCAAACGCCGGGAAAACGCACAGCCCGTGTCTCCCTATGTGCGCGTGCACCCGGGAACCTAGGACTAACTTCCAGTTCTCTCCGAGGGGTCCCCACCTGCTGCCAGCTTTCAATGTGGTCAGCGTTAGGACCTGGAGAAGCGTCCTCACTTCACTCCCAGTCTCACCCTCGCAGTGGAATCTCTGGGAGTGACCGGCCCCCTCGGCTCCCCCCGGACGTCAGTCAGTTCGGGGCAGAGGTCCTTTTTCCTGACTTCTTTGGAGGCCTGCAGTGGGAAGGGTGTGACGGGCGTCCGCAGACGGGAAGCCCGGTCTCCCAGCTGGACCTGCGCTGACAGTGCGGAGGGGGACAGGGACTTGCTGTCGGGGTTCTTGTTGGGAGTGGAGTGTCCTCTGTGCGGGGCGTGCAGCTGTCCTTCCCGTGTACATAAACACAGTATTTTCCACGCTTCTGCCTGTCCTTCCTTTGGGATGCTGTGTAACTCGAGGTCAGCACGCCAGGCAGGGGAGCTGTGTGCAGAGAATTAGGTCGCCTGCTCCTTTCCTGGGCCCCAGATTCATTCCTCCATTTGGTTAAAATCTTAAGGGCAGGGGACTCCTGGGTCCCTGTTCCCTATACCTACAGCCTCCTCTACTAGACCGTGGATAGACCGCCCACCGCGACTCTCGGGGATTGCAGTCCCACTTGCTGGTGATTTCTGAGCGTGTGCAGAGCGCGCTGGTCCAGATCCACTTCTGCGTCGGAGCTGTCGGGGCTCCTCCCTGGGTCCTCTAGAGTCTGCCTGCCAGTTGTCAGCTTTTAGTGTTAGGGCTACACAGGTGAGTTCTGGATCTTCCTGGGAAGCCTTCCTAGCCTCCCAGCGCCCAGCCCGCCCTCCAGAGCAGGGCGTGGAGCGTGCCTGGGTGGAGGCCGGAAAGGGGCTAGGGTGAGGCGCCTCTGTCGCTCCGGGCGCTCTGGCTGGGCTACAGGGTCCGGGGGGCGAGGTCCGCTGGGGGTGACTCGCCCTAGGTGGGTGGATTTCCCTCCAGACGCCACAAGTCCAAAGGCACGTGACTGACTTTGTTTTGAGAATGGTGTCAGAACACGTCGCGTGGCTGCCATGTCCATTCGTCACCTGTGCTGGCCGCTCCAGCTCTGCTGGCACCCCTCTCTGGGGCTTTCCTTCGGGAGCTGTGCTGTTCTGCATAGTTCCTGCGGTGACAGGCCTCGGCCCCTTGAGCGTTAATTTCAGTTTCGGGTTCCACCACAAAGTCAGGGGAGCCTTATTTAAAAAAAAATAAAACAGTGACTGAGCTGAATGACAGTTGGGGTCAAAAATATGTGACCTCAATGAGATTTTTTTTTTATTTGCAAAGTAACAATAAAAGCAGTATCTAGAGGCAAGTTCCAGAGAGAAGGGCGCCATGGCAGTGATGTCATGTTAGAAATAAATAGCATCTATTGAGTGCTTAGCAGATGCCCAGCAGTGGGCTGAGCGTTCAGCGTCTCGCTCACTTAACCTTCCCAGCAACTTTCCGAAGGGGAGCATGTCCGCCGTGTTTTACAGATGGGGGTGCTGTGGGGGTTCTGCCAAAGGTTCCGTGTGAGGAGCTGGGAGGGCCAGGGTCGGGGCCCCAGGAGAGACATCAGTGAGCTCACTGGGAAGGCTTTGATGGGTAAAGGGTGCGTGCGTTCTTCGTGGTGAAGTAACCTGTCGCCTTACAGTCATACACCTGCATCCCACTGTACTGTTTGAATGCTAAGGATGTGTAGTGCTTTATAAACATTAGGAGCTTTCTAAGGAAAACTGATGGATAGTACATTCAATATGGCCACAGATTTCCAGCTGAGCAGAGGACTGTAGGAAATGTTTTTATTCCAAAGGATAAAGGAAAGTTCCCTCCACCCCACCACTGAGTGGGTGTATCCCTGGACTTTCTAGGGGTCCGAAGTCTGGACCTCCCTCTATCCCACTCACTGCCTGACCTTGGGCCATTTGGAGAGAAGGGAAGACTCGTGCCCAGCAGGTGCTCAGAACAGTGTCTCCTTTCCAAGGACGACGGGAGAGGAGAACAGGATGTGTAGTTCCGACGGTGCCTCTGACTTCTAGTTTGGGGCAGCCCCATCCAGATCAGAGCCAAATGGGCCAGGTGGCCATCAGTTGATACCAGGGGTCAGGGTGGAGCGCGCCAGGTCCCCGTGAGTCCAGTGGGTGTGCACAGCTCACACAGGCGCCCCTGGAAGCGGAGGTCTTTCGACCTTAGATTCTTCATTCGGTGACTCCCAGATCAGGGGAGCTTCCTCCTGCCAGTCCCAGAAGGCACTGCGGGCAAGGAGCTGCCCGGGGTCCACAGAGCCTCAGAGCAGGGGCAGGCACCAGGGACATGCCCTGCAGAGGGATTGGACGCCACTGTGGTGCTTGGGGTTTTCTGTAGGAAATTAGCGAAGGGTGGCGAAAACAGCACTGAGATGAGGGGGTGCAGAGAGCTGAGTTCCAGTCCCCACCCTGCCCCTCCCTGGGCAAGTCAGAGCTCTGGGGGCTCTAACACAGACCTGAGAGCGCTGTGATGGAGAGCAGAGTTAAGTCCCGGGGCCCAGTACTGGCTGTGACACCAGATGAGCTACTTCACCCGTCCCTGCCTCGGTCTCCCCATCTGTCAGCGGAGGATAATAATAGTGCTTCCCCGAGTGGTTGCGAGGATTCACTGAGACGTCGTGGGTAGAGCGCTCAGCGCGGGGCCTGGCACATGGGAAGTGGCCCATAAATCGAAGTTATAGTTGTTGCCCCCCCATCCCAACCCCCACCGCACAGAGGACATGCCTTTCTTCTGGGCCCTGAGTGGTTCCAGCTGTCACCTGGGGGGACAGGCTTGCCCAGGATCCAGGTGCAGCCAGCAAGTACTGAGCCCCTGGGTGCCACACACTGAGAAGGGACGTAATGTATTCTCACTTAATCCAATGAGATTCGCACCATTATTTTCCTCATTTGCCAGACAAGGCGAGGATAAGGAGTCACTGAGGGTGGGAAGCTGGGCCTGCCTGCGTCCACAGCCTCATATGCCCGAGTTCCAGCCGTGTTTGAGTGCTGTGTGGGTCCGAGGGGGGAGGGACAGTCTCGGGGGTGCCGATGCCGTCTTCGGAAAAGGTCGTGAATGTGGACGTAGGACGGGCTTTGTGGCAAGTGAGTTCCCTTTACTGGGCAGTTGGGCAGCTGCTCGCAAGTGAGAAAGAAAGTCGGTACCGGCCTCTCGGCCTTATTATGATGTGGGGCCGGGGAGAAGGCACGGAAGAAGGCCGAACACTTGTTCGGTACCCCACAGACGGGCCTTGTGTCCGTCAAGCCCGATGTGCTCAGAGCCCCCTGGAGTGGATAGTGGTGTGCCTATGGAATAAATAAACGGATGAAATAGCTTCAAAGAGATGATGTGACTTAAAAGTCACTCAACCACCTGGAAGTTAGTCCACCCTCCCCCGCAAGTCCAGTCAACTGTTAGGAAGCCGTTTCTGCGGTGCTCGCTGATGCCCGTTGCAGCCCAGATCAGGGTCTGAGCCCAGCAGAGGAGCCTCAGGTTGAAGCGCTTCAATAAAGGGAGGCTGTAGTGGGGAGACCCCGACAGCACCTTGTGGGAGGCGAGTTGCCTGGGGACCAAATGCCAGTGCTGGTGGGGACAGGCTGGAAGAGGTGCCCCTGCCAGGAGTCATTCCCACAGGAGGCCTGCGTCCTCGCTCCCCCCCAGGGCGCTCTGGGCACACGGCCCCCTATTCCACAGCGTTCCCCACCCCCCACCGGCAGCTCTGGCCCCCCGGGGGCAAAGGGGAAGCTGCTGGTCTTTCTGGGTCCTCGTTGGGGTTCCCTGGGTAGGCTCCCACAAAGAATAGTGCTGTCCCCCGCCACCCCCAGGAGTGTATTTTGGGTTTTTGGTGTTTTTTTTTTTTGTTCGTTTGTTTTGGCTGGAAGCGCACTGCCCTGACTGTCTCTGCTGAGAGCCTAGGACGGACGTTCACAGGAAGGTGGATGATGGAATGGAGACACTTTGGGAGGAAAGATGGAGAGGTTGTTTTCGAAGGTTGGCGGGGTTGACGATGTCCAGCAAGGGAACCGGAATGGAGGTTCAGGAACTGGGCTGGGGTGCACGCTGAGCAGGAGGACAGCTTGAAGGGGAGGTTATTGGGGTGGTGTTGCACAGCACTGGGGAGGGGGTGGCGTGCCATAAGGCAGGGAGGGAGTACAGCCAGGCCACCTTCCCCAGGCAGAGCCGGGCAGTGCAGAGCAGTCCCACAGGCGAGCCCAGGCCGTCCTCTCTGCTGGATGCACAGTCATGCTGCTGAGCGCCAGTGGGGCGGAGGGTTGCCAGCAGGAGGGCTCGGGGGGAGCCCCTCCCGTCCTTTCCTCTCCTAATCTGGGGATCCCTCTCCCTCACTGCCCTGGCTCCCCAGGGTAGGGTGAGGTGGGGCCGGGGCCCCCAGGTGGCTCTGCTGCTTTCCTTTGGGCATCCGCTCGGCATCCGCTCAGCGCATCCTGCCTCTGGGGGAAGGAAAAGGGAGGAGCGCCATCTTCGTTCAAGAAAGCCGGGGCTCTCCTCTCCCCAGCTGCACGCTCAGGGCCCTGTAGCTTCTGACAGAGGGTGACTCCGACCAGATGGGTGGACCAGGGCTTTCGCCGGGTGAGGTGTGTGCCGTGTCACATGGAAGCAGCAGGAACACAGTACTGGCTTCCCGCCCGGCCCTGCTGTCCACGACCTCTGACTCAGGTGAGGCCAGCGACACCCACGTACCGACACCTGACGCTGTGATAATCAGGGCGCGGTGCACGTGTGTGATGGGCTGCACAGACGCTCCCTTGGGCCTTTACCTTCCTCTCGGACGGGGAACGGGGAGCAGCCAGGAGCCCGAGATCAGGGTTCTTGCCCCACCACCGCTCCTAGTGGTGTGAGCCTGGGCAAGGGTTTCCCTTCTCTGCAGCACGGCCTCCTGCTCTCCTTGGCTTGCAGGGCCATTGTGAGGCATCTGGCACCCAGGAGACACCCAGAAAGCACCCAGGAAATGTTCCCTTTCTGTGACTTCATAGAGGAACCCCTCAGGAAGCCAGTTCGTGGGGTCGGGCAGCGGGGCGGGGGGGGGGGGCTGCAGGTTGCAGGCTTTTTGTCTCAGGTTCTGGGCTGACTTTAGGGACCTGGGGATGGGGTGGAAGAAGCCAGAAGTGATGCACGTTCCTCCCCCTGGCCCCCTCCCCAACTCCACGGAGGGCCTCTTTTCTCCAGTTTCCAGCCCCAGGCAGACAGGCAGAGCCAACGGAAGCGTTCCTCAGTGCCATATGGGAGATTTTTATTTGTATACTCGCGAATTTTCCCGTCCAACCCTCCCAATCAGATGATTTCATGATCCACCCTCTGCTCACACTCGGGCTCCCATCCGAGGTCACACCACCTGCAAGCGGAGACCTGGTGTTAAGAGCGAAGGCTGCCC